TCAGATGACCTCTTTGGCAGGTAAACACGATCGTTTAGTTTGTTTACAAACTGCTGGACAACGATTGTTTTCTCATCGGAGAAAACCAATTTCGGAAGTTCGCCACTTTCGGCCAACTCTTTGACTCTTTTGAGTTTATTTTCTTTCTGTTGCGGTGTAAGTTCCTGCACTTTTTGGAATTTCAATGGCTTTACCCCGAGCTCATTTTTTAATATTTGCCGAATGGAATATTGCCATATGTTCAGATCACGAGCCATTTTCCGGCCATTGCGACGCGGGTTTCGATCAAGTCGCTTTTTTACTTTTCGAACTATTTCTGCTGATGTTGCTGTTTTCTTCCGTCCAGTATCCAGTCCAGTATCACGGTAACGAGCGATGGTACGAGACACAAAGTTTTTTTTTCACATTTAAATGCTGGAGTGCTCTAACGATATCCACTTGTGGTTTTCCGAATAACGTTTTTTTTTCTGGAAAATTCCCACCAAAATACTTTTGTACGCTTGTAGACAATATAATGAATGATTTTAGCAGCTGTCGGACGAGTGGATTAGAAATGATAGCAGTCTGAAAATGGTTGCAGTTTTTTCATCTCACCCTGTAAATACTTTTTATACCCTACATCACATAGTGGTAAGGGTATTATGTCTTTGTGCATTTGTTTGTAACATGGTCAGTCCTTCTGTTCGTCCGTCCGTCTGTTCAAGTATTCTTGTGAACAAAATGCAGGTCGCATTTATTATCCGATTAAGATAAAATTTTGCAAACAACATTTGTTTGGCCCAAGGGCGAACCCTATTAAAATTGGAGATATTCGGTAAGAATTTAGATATAGCTCCCATATATATCTTCGCCCGATTTGCCTTTTATTGTGCACCAAACGTCTAATATTTGCCCGAAGGGACTGGAATTTGGCACATACAACCGAATTGAGTATAGAAGGCAGTATGCCGAATTTGATGAAGACCGGTTCAGATATAGCTATAGCTCCCATATATATCTTTATCTGATTTCAAATTATTTTGCACCGAATGGGCAATACAAATCCGAATTTAAAAGATACAAATAATTCGTCATATTTTTAATCATAGCGTATATGATTGAATTCTCCCAAAAAAAAAAAAACTTTTAATTGTTATGTGGAGCTCTACTAAATTAGGAAAGTGGTGTAGGGTATCATAAAGTCGGCCCCACCCTGATTTTTTGGTAACCGACGAAGGTATAAAATCCGGGATATTAAATTAATCATACCATCCGTTCCATGGTAGCTACATAAAAACAATGTGATACTTCTACCTTCGAAATCTCTTATAAGGTTCAATGGACTCAGATTGTCCAAATCGACTTTATTTTGCAAAGGAATCAAAAATTTTATTTATTTTGTAGAACATATTATATTGCTTCCTAATTGCCATTTGTCACAAGACGCGATCACCATTTCAATTTTCCCAAGTTCTCTGTTCTTAACATCGCCTTCATGAATTTAAATGATTCTGCATCACACAGGTAGTTTAATATGCTATTAGAAAACAATTTTCTTGGAAATGCGCCAAGCAACATGTGTCTGCCTGAAAAATGTGCATCACATATATACAAACATACTCTGGCAATAGATTTTCTTTTGTTGATTTTATGATTTCACAATGTATTTGCAAATAACTGGGAATAAAAAAGAAACATGCTGCCATGACTAAGAATTTACTTTTAATAGGTGATTCAAAACGAATTGAAAATCTGCGTGCAAGGATTCCGAGAACATGTTGTTACTTGTTGGATATAAAAATGGGGCAATTTGTTTATGATATTGTTGAAAACAATTTACAGATGTTCATGTGAATTATGGGTACAATGAACCCATTTAAAATGAGCATAGAAAAATGTTCGATAGCTATGATGAATTATTTTTATTGAACTAATTGTTAAAATCAAGCATACCTCTCGAGGCAGAATGTGAAATGGAACACATCATTCAGAACCTTTTCTCTTTCGAAAAAATACCAAATTTGTTCTTTTGTACTATATTTTTGGTAATAACAATTGCTTTTGCTTACTTTTAGTACTTAGTCATAAAATTGAAGTCCATTGCGGCCAACAAAAATGTCAGGCTATTTATAATAGAAGACAATACCACAGCCTTATGTTCTTGAAAGATTGCCAAGTTCTTGAAAGTTTTTAGAATACTCGTATACTAAATTGTTGTTCTTCATTTTGGTCTTCGTGAACTTTCATCGAATATTTTCGTAATTGATGTATTATTTTTCATAGTTACCAAAAATCATTGACTTTAAAGTCTGATATTTCTTGAAAATACAGGGTGAGATAAAAAAACCGCAACAAAGTCAAACGCCACAATTTTTACATTTTTTTAAATTTTATTGAATGAAAAATAATGAAAAAATATCGGACATAGCATACAATTTTAGAATAAGTTTAGATTTGTTCGAATTGGTCACCTTTGGCACGAATTATGGTCTTCAAACGGCCAATGAAACCGTCACACGCTGCCCGAATGTCGCTCTGCGGTATTTTGGCTCATTCCCGGCGAAGAGCTTGTATGAGGTGATCCACACTATGGTGTTTTTAGTGCCAACCTTGCTTTCCAAAATACTCCAGACACAATAGTCCAACGGATTAATATCCAGAGATTTTGGTGGCCATTGTGCGCTGGAAATAAAGCAAGGAATCTCATTTTGTGACCAATTCTTGGGTGGCGCGTGCTGAATGCGATGGTCCTGAGTCCTGTTGGAATGTCGAAGGACTGCGGTCAAAATGTTTGCGTGACCAAGGCTTTAATGGATCCAGCAGAATATATTCGCGATAATATTCGGCATTTATTCTGATGCCACTGTCGATTAATACGAGCGGAGAGCGATCATTGGCTGTTATGGCGGCCCACATCATCATCATGGCCGGCGATTGAGTTCTGGTGTCCAACTGAAGGTGCACATTTTCAGCTAACCTCTTTGGCAAGTAAACACAATCGGTTTTGTTTACAAACTGCTGGACAACGAATGTTTTCGCATCGGAGCGAAGAAAACCAAATTCGGCAGTGCACCACTTTCGGCCAAGCAAAGCAACTCTTTAGCTCTTTTGAGTCTATTTTCTTTTTGTTGCGGTGTAAGTTCTTGCACTTTTTTGAATTTCAATGGCTTTACCCCGAGCTCATTTTTCAATATTTGCCGAATGGAATATTGCGATATGTGGCTTACGAGCCATTTTGCGGCCACCTCGACGCGGGTTTCGATCAAGTCACTTCTTTACTTTTCGAACCATTTCTGCTGATGTTGCTGTTTTCTTCCGTCCACTTACTTGACGACGGGCTACGCTACCAGTATCACGATAACGAGCGATGGTACGAGACACAAAAGATATATTCACATTTAATTGCTGGAGTGCTCTAACCATAGCCACTTGTGGTTTTCCAGCCAAACATAAAGAAATCACACCATCACACTTGAACTCCATCACGAATAACTTTTTTTCTGGAAAATTCCCACCAAAACGCTCTTGTACGCTTGTGAACAATATAATGAGCTGTCACTGAAATAATTTTAAAAGCTGTCGGACGAGTGGCTTTGAAATGACAGCAGTCTGAAGTTGGTTGCAATTTTTTCATCTCACCCTGTATATTTCATGTTTTGCAAACATTAAATCATTGTCAAACAGTCGAATACCAAATTCAGATATTACCCCTAATAGAAAAATATTTTGTGACTTTAAGAACAGATTTTCAAAACCTCGCGTCTTTCACCAATCGTGACATACATGGGAAATCCTGGTATAAAGCAAAGCACTCCAAGCTCCAAAAAAAAAAAAAATTCATTGTATATCGGAGCCGAAAAAAGTTAAAAAGCAGTAAGTTCAGCCGGGCCGAACTTTGAATACCCTCCACCATTTGGAACGAATTTTGAAATTTTCAAAAAATAAAATCCTTTAAAAATTCTGTTAAAATTTTAAAAAATACCAAATATATCCGTTATATTGGGGTCTATATGGACCTATATAGGCTTGTTAGTCATAAGCCATTACCATATTAAAATTCGAAACTTGAAATAAACGGTGAATAATATATCGAAAATCATCAAAATAATGTATATAGGGAGGTACCGTTATATCGGAGCTGTGCGAAGACCTGGACCAGCATAGACAATTTTCTGTCACAGGCTATAGCATCCATTACGAACGTCAAATACGACATCTCAAACAATTTCGGTGGGTATTATACCTAAACTCGTCAAAATGCCGAATATAGGGAGGTACTGATATATGGGGCCTATACGAAGACCTGGACCTGCATAGACAATTTTCTGTCACAGACTGTACTTAAAAATTAAAATTTTGTATGCCTACCTATAAGGATGTCGAATACAAAAATCTAAGCACTTTTTATTACCACAAACTGCTATCTAATCGAATATCAAACATTTGACTGCTACTGTGACCAACGTATTTTACAGAGACTGCTACAGTTGCAAAGCAATTAAAGCAAGAGTATTCGCTTGTCACCAGAAAAGTATAAGCATGTGTCTTTTGCACACAACAGGGGTCATGTAAAGTACATACAAACAAGTTTTTTCTACATGGCATCTACACTGCATCTCTCAAATGAATCCGCTATTCGGTATGACGTGTCCCATACGTTGGAACATACGTCATAAACAAGTATGAGGTGTGACGTCACACACATCATTTTATTATTATTTTAAACAACCACACAACGTGAATACCCCAACTGTTTGTGGACGATAGCCAGCCACCTAGCTATATGGGAACCACTTGGCTAAGAAAAAAAAAACAAGAAAAACAATTTTAAAACGTAACAAGAAAATTGATATTGCCCCCGCAAAATGTCAATGAATCTATTTGAGGGAAAGTGAAAGCTTATCGACCGACAAACATGGACACTTTGAACAAGTCTATTGACATTGGTTTTCTTATCATCGATTCATAGACAATTAACAACTAATTAATTGCTCTTGGACATTTTTCTCTTATCTTTGCAGATTATAAATATTATTTTTTGGAATCTAGTTTTTTGATTGTATTTTAAAGAAAACAACAACAGCAACAACATGTATCCATTTGTAAGTATTAAAAGAAATTATATATTTAATAAGTATATATTTTATATATCTATTGTTATAACATAAAAATAAGTTGGGAATTTCGTATGTAAATGATGATGTATAAAGGGTGTTTCGATTCAATATTCTCTTTTTAACATTTTGCGCTGAAATTCAATTATTGCCTAAAATAACAGAAAGGATCGAAAAGAATGTAAAGCTAACCAGTAAGGAAAAGTCAAAAGACGGGCGGGCCGACTATATGATACCCTACACCACCATGCATTTTAAGTAGAGCTCCCGTAACAAAATCAGATCATATCAGTAGATTATACCACCTATCGACATTTAACTTTAGAGCAGTTATAGTTTGGTCTCAGAGGGAACTAATATATGGGAGGCATATCCAATTTTGAATCGATTTTCACTAAATTTGGCGGAGACATTTTGATCTTTTATACCAAAAAATAACATTGATATAAAGTGCACACTTCGAGAAGAATTATATTAAAAAAATATATATCGGATCCGAGTTCCACAAAATGGAAGCGTACGTCCTGAAATTCACTTCATTTGGCCTGATATTAGTCATTATTTGCACAATAAACATGAAATCGCATTAGGGATATATATGGGAGCTATATCCAAATCTTAGCCAATCTAGATAAAATTTGGGAAAGGTATTTCCGAGCTCTATTAGATATTTGATACCAAATTTCATTGCTATCGGATGCAAATTACGAATGTGAGGGACTTAAACACCAAATCGGATGAAACATCTATATGGGAGCTATAGCTATGTCTGAACCGAATGTTACCAAATTTGACGTTTCAGGTTAATTGTGCACCAAATGGCCAACATCTGTCTAAAAGTAATACATTTTGGTACAACCGACCGAATATAAGCAAGTATAGACTTAATTCGGTCGGTTGTACCCAAATTTTGCAGAAGTATTTCCGAGATCTATAAGATATCTGGTACCAAATATCATTGTTGTCGAATGTGGGAGCTATATCCAAATCTGAACCAATCTTGATAAAATTTTGCAGAAGTATTTCCGAGCTCTATAAGATATCTGTTACCAAATATCATTGTTGTCGAATGTGGGAGCTATATCCAAATCTGAACCAATCTTGAAAATATTTTGCAGAGGTATTTCCCAGCTCTATTAGATATCTGATAAAAAATATCATTGTTGTCGAATGCATATTACGAATGTAAGGTACCTAAACACCAAATCGGATAAAACATATATTTTGGAGCTATGGCTATATCTGAACCGATTTTCACCAAATTTGTACAGCCCAAAAAATATCTCTGCAAATTTTATCAATATCGCTTCTGATTTAGATATAGCTCCCAGATATATCTTCAACTGATTTCGGGTTAATTGTGCACCAAATGGCCAATATCAGTCCATATGGGCTAAATTTTGACACATCCGACCGAATTCTGTCTAGAAGCAAGTGCATAAAATTTGGTGAAAATCGGTTCAGATATGGCTATAGCTGCCATATATAAGTTTCATCCGATTTGGGGTTTTAAGTCCCTCACATGCGTAATATGCACTCCACAACAATTGTATTAAATACGGGACATCAGATACTGCTCAAAAATACCTCTGCCAAATTTTATCGAGATCGGTTCAGATTTTTATACATCTTTCGATATACACCTCCATCCGATTTTACGGTTATTGTCCCCACATATATATAATACCAGCCCAAATTGAATAGATTTTTTCATATTCAACCGAATTTTTCCCTTTGGTAAATCTCGAAGTCATATCATGCTCCATACCGCAATGTTATTTGGTACTTGAGGTACAAAACCACCGTCAAATTTGTGTAAATCCATTCATAGTTGGATATAGTTCCCAGATGGTGACTACTCTAAAACCATGATACGCATTCAAATAAGGTTTATACTTGGTATGATCTACTTAACATAAATTCCCAATTAACATTTTTTTTTGTTACGGGAGCTCTCCTAAATACGCATAATGGTGTAGGGTATCACATAATCGGCCCCGCCCGACTTTTGATCTTTCCTTTCTGGTTGAAACGTAACATGTGGAGGAAACTGAAGTAGAGTGGAGGACTTCCACCCATTTTCACATTCGTGCAGATATTCGAGTTAAGATGCCTTGGAATAGTGTTTTCGGCCTTATTATTGGCAATAGTACACGGAAAACAGGGTGATTATTTTCAAGCTATTAGAAAGTTTAGACAACGAACATAAAATTCAGAAAAATGCCTAAAATGATTATTTAAACTGATAGCACGGTCCATATAATTTAATGTTTGAAGATTATTTCATGAAAATATTGATCACGACTTCGCCACTAATGGCCAATCCTATTCATATTCTTTCCAACATTCCGGACGGTATCTCACGACGGTTGACGGGATGGTTGGAATTGCCAGAAGGAGTGGATCGATATTGATTATCTCCGAATTCGAAGTTTGATAATAATATTACGATATAGTCCTGTCCGTTCAACCGTCTGTCGTCATATTGACTCTGGTGTGATTATTCCCTGTTTTACAGTATTTATCTTTTTAAGCGTGAAACACCCTTTATATATACATAACATTATCACTGCATTCATGTGGTTTTATTTGTTTAATCTAAATTTATTTGTTTCTAAATAAAATTATTTTGGATTCATTTTGTGGTTTCAAACAACGATGATGTGGTGTGGCATGTGGCAAACTATTGTAACTTAGTATTGTAAAAAAATGTTTATGGTTTAAATTGTATCTGCACTCAAATAATTTATTTGTAATACACATTGCCTCAGTGCAGTTTCAAGTGCTAATGAATCATAACTATATAAAAAATATTTATTTATTCCATATTATTTATTACGTGTTGAGGTTCTCATGTTTGTTATTCAATTAAAAAAAAAAATAAAAGGTTTCACATTTTCCGTCATTTATGGAGTACCAAACCTGTACCCAAAAATGTATTTCTCAACTACTTCGGGAATTAGCAAAATGTAACTGTTCTAGGGCCCTTGAATTCGTCCCTGTACTCAATAATACCATAATATAAATCGACTCAAAAATAAAAAAAATCCAGGAATTATGAAAAAATAAAAATACGTAGTAAGGAGGGTGAATTTTAAAACGTAGATTATACCTAGTCATTGTATATTTTGCTAAATATTTGGCATGCCATCATTTAATTGAAAATATCAGTGCTTTCTAAACTTCAGTGGAAAAAGCAAATGGATTTGTAGATCAAACATCGAACATCACTAAAATTCTTGGTTGAGGATTTATGTTAAGAGCCTTTTCTAGAATACATTTCACTTAACTCAACATTAAACATACAGGGTGAGATAAAAAAACTGCAACAAAGTCAAACGCCATAATTTTTACATTTTTTTAATTTTATTGAATTTTATTGAATGAAAAAATGTCGGAAATAGCACCAAATTTTATTGGTCAGCTTTGGCACGAATGATGACCAAACGACCAATAGACCGTCACAAGCTGCCCGAATGCTGCTCTACGGTATTTTGGCCCATTCCCGGCGAAGTGCTTGCTTGAGGTGATCGACACTTTGGTATTTTTTAGTGTCAACCTTGCTTTCCAAAATACTCCAGACACAATAGTCCAACGGATTGGTATTCAGAGATTTTGGTGGCCATTGTGCGCTGGAAATGAGGCAAGGAACCTCATTTTGTAACCATTCTTGGGTGGCGCGTGCTGAGTGCGAGGGTGCTGAGTCCTGTTGGAATGTCCATGGTCTGCCGCCAAAATGTTTGCGTGCCCAAGGCTTTAATACACACTCCAGAATACTTCGGCAATTATTATGTTGCCTCGGTCGATTAATACGAGCAAAGAGCGACCATCGGCTGTTATGGCGGCCCACAGCATCACCGAAGGCAAGTAAACACGATCATTTTGTTTGTTTACAAACTGTTGAACAACGAATGTTTTCTCATCGGCGAAACCCAAATTCGGCAGTACACCACTTTCGGCCACGCGAAGCAACTCTTTAGCTCTTTTGAGTCTATTTTCTTTCAGTTGCGATGTAAGTTCTTGCACTTTTTGGAATGTCAACGGCTTTACCCCGAGCTCATTTTTTTCAATATTTGTCGAATGGAGTGATTCATATGTTCAGCTCAAGAGCCATTTTTTAGCCACTGCGACGCGGGTGTCGACCAAGTCGCTTCTTTACTTTTCGAACCATTTTCGATGATGTTACTGTTTTTTTTTCCAGCTGTCGGACGAGTGGCTTAGAAATGACAGCAGTCTGAAGTTGTTTGCAGTTTTTTCACCTCACCCTGTATATGTATGTCCTACATGTATGTCATCCATTGAATGTTTCAAACCTCTCGCCACATTTCCGCACATTTCAAATGAAAGTTGCAACCTTTCGGCCCAAGCAAAACAAAAATTCAAAAGAGTCTCTTTCATTTGTTTTAAATTGAAAATTGTATTCATTTACCCACCCCTCTCACCAGCACCACCCCCGCCCCCACTCAATTCCATATGTTTTGCACAAATGTCTGATCTCTGTCATTGAACTCTTTTCGTTTTGTAGGGTTCCGGCATGCCACAACCACATCCTCCCACATCAACGCCTGGTTACAATCCACAACCGGGTATGTCAGCCGGTGTACCATTCGGTGCGGGTTGGGTGGCGCCCACCCAACACCCACATCAACAACAACAACAACAGCAGCAGCAACAACCGACAAATTCTCATTATCCATCTGCCGCCACACATCATGCTCCCTATCCTACAAACAATGCACCCTATCCTCCCACTAACACAGCACCATACCCCACAACTAACTCAGCACCCTATCCCACGGCTGGTCCCTATCCTCATGCAACACCTTATCCCAGCAACAATGGACATCAGCCGTCACCCTATCCGGGATCCTCATATCCTCACAATCCCCATCAAACACCCTATCCCACATCGACAGGTTCACCAGCTCATTATCACAATCCATCATACGGACAGGCACCACCCACACACCCCACATCATACAATCCCAATCATGGCTATACACCGGTTCGTACCTCAATGGGATTAGAATCGCCGGCTGGCAATATCCAACACTGTTTCGAAGAGTTGGCCCAGAGGCAAGGCCATCCCATACAACATCACTACTCCACTGCTCCACGGAGAGAGGTTAGTGTCCTTGCTAATTATGTATTTTCTTTTTGTTTTTTGCTCTCTTGGGTATTTTGGTTTTCTCTTGTGTTGTTCTTTTTTTTTGTAATCTCTTTTCTTGGGGTCTATTATTTTGGAAATTCAATTTTCCTAAGAATGTTGGATTTATTGAAAGTTTCACTGAAGACGATTTGAATAATGAAAGTGCTTCAGAAATTTCAATTGAGGAAAATTGCTATGGCGATGGAATGTTTACATATAAACTACACGATGATGTATGTACACATGTTTTTGTTTTATAATTTATCTCAAAACTAGATAATTGTAAGCTTGTGGAATGGCGATTAATTCGTAAGCTTTTGATTACTCTTAATGCTAGAAATTATTTTTAGTTTGTTGTTATTGTTGTAATTTTTTGCTGTACCAACGACACATATGAATGTGTGTGTGTGTGTGTGTGTGTGTTTGTTTTATAAATTCACCTAAGCTTGCGTGAAATTATCTCTGAGTCATGATGCAGAACGACCACAAGTGGGTCGTTTATTAAAAATGGATTTTCCCTAGACTACTTGGGTGGTTTTACTTGTATTTTTTTCTTTACGAAACCGTATTCAGGGATATTTGACCTAAATTTCGGGTCCACGACCCGGGGATCGTAAATGGGCCATGTAGGTGCACCTTTTTTAGATAGCCCCCATATAACGTTACCTCCCTGTATTAGGTATTTTGATGATTTTAGCTACATTATTAACAGAAATTGTTTCAAATTTGGCATTTGAAGTTCGAAATCGATACTACAGCCTGAGACAGAAATTTGTCTGTTCAGGCCAACGTCTTTGTATAGCCACCATATAACGGTACCTCCCTATATATTCGGTATTTTGATGATTTTAGCGAAATTTTTAACCGGAAATGTTTCAAATTTCGCATGTGAAGTTCGTAATGGATACTTTAGCCCATGACAGAAAATTGTTTGTGCAGGTCCATGTCTTCGTATAGCCCCCATATAACGGTACCTCCCAATATTCGGTATTTTGATGATTTTAGCGTCATTATTTACCGAAATTGTTTCAAATTACGTATATAGAGTTCGTAATGGGAACTAAAGTCTGTGACAGGAAATTATCTATGCATGTCCAGGTCTTCGTATAGGCCCCATATATCAGTACCTCCCTATATTCGGCATTTTGATGAGTTTAGGTACAATACCTACCGAAATTGTTTGAGATGTCGTATTTGAAGTTCGTAAAGGATGCTACAGCCTGTGACAGAAAATTGTCAATGCTGGTCTAGGTCTTCGCACAGCTCCGATATATCGGTACCTCCATATGCGATATTTTGATGATTTTAGCTACATTATTCACCGTTTATTTCAAGTTTCGAATTTGAATATGGTAATGGCTTATGACAAACAATGCCTATAGGTAGGTCCACGTCGTATAGACCTAAATATAACGGCTATATTCTGTATTTTTAAAATGTTAACAGAATTTTTTTTTTTGAAAATTTCTAAATTTGTTCCAAACGGTTGAGGGTATTCAAAGTTTGGCCCGGCCGAAATCACTGCTTTTTAACTTGTTTTTTTTTATGCTGTTTTTAATTTGATGCTGTTTTGGATTGCAAGACTTCGGCCAGGGCGTGAGATTTTCTCCTCTGGCTATGCCCAACACCGGCTACGTGAACCAATTTTTTTTTTCTAAATTTGATAGTCGGCCTTCACCAAACAATAATTTGGCATACATTTTGTGAACTCGAAATATGGGGCCATTTTCGACTTTTTGGGGATTAAAAAAAAAACAGGTCCACTTAAAATAATTCCCTCATGTTACCACATTGTGGCTTTCATTGTGGTTAAAACATTCAAAATACTGAAAATTAGGGAGTAACGATATATGGGGGCCATACCAAAACGTGGACCTATTCGGGTAATATAAATGTCGGACCAACATTTCAAAGTGATTAAATGCTTCTCTGATTTATCTCCGTTATTAAGAAACTCACCTCACTGAAAGACCTATTTAGTACCATTTAGTACACATAAGTACATATTTGCATAACAATCTGCATCATACAATCCAATAGAAATCTAATTTCCCAATTTCTGGTTCGGTTCACCCAAATCCAAAACTTCCTTATTAATTCCAATTTTCAGAACAACAACTTTATCGCTTCTCCCAAAATTTAAATTGTACCAAATTTAGTCCCATTTAATACAGCTAAGTACGTATTTCCAAAACTATCTACGTATCTCAGTCCTACAATGCAATAGTGATTTTATTATCAAATTTCTACTAGCTCTATTGGTTCCCCCTAAATTGAAATTGTACCAAATTTAGTATCATTTATTACTTTTCGTGGACATAAGTACAAATTTCGAAAACTCCCTCCATATCCCAATCCTACACTCTGTTAAATTTCAGCTCCATCCATTCCTCCAAATTCAAATTGTACCAAAATTTGGCACCGTTTAGTACTTTTCGTAAACAGGAGTACATACTTCTAAAAATTACCTCCTTACATCGACCCTACTGCTCAACCTGGCTTCCCATTCCGAATTTCAAGTTTTTAGCTCTAACTGTTCACATGATACGAAATGGTACTAAATATAGCATATTTTAGTACTTTCTTACACTTGGTTTGGTACATTCATCATACACTTTATCAGTGGTCCTCATTCCAAATTTAATAGTTGTAACTCTATTATTCGTCAAATAAAAAGAGTACAAATTTAGTACTTTTCGTACCGTTGTAGTACGAATTTACAAAAACCCGGCCTTATCTGACACCTGCGGACCAAGAGTGACCACAAAGATACTAGCTTTAGCCATTTCGTCTAGGGGTTGATGAATCATTAAGTCAGTCAGTCAATCACTTGACGGGCTATCTACCTTGCTACTACCTTCTTCTACAGAGCGAAAGGTAGATCAATAGAAAAAAAAAGAAAAAAATAGATTTAGAGATAAAATACTTTCTTAGGCTCTTCTATAGAACGTAACTTTCATTGGATCTTTTATTGGTTCATCTATAGGCCTTCAGTGGATAGAGGATGGATGTTTTCAATACATTCTCCATATAGAATTTTCTACGAGGGTTAATTTGGTTATAAACTTTGGGTTGGTTGGATAGCTGTATCACTTCTCCAAAAATCTGTCCCAACTCCCAAAGGCAGATTTATTGTAATTTCAAAACTTTATTAAATTTTACCTCTTTTTTGTGTAATGTATTCCAACCCCAAGTATAAATGGTTATATAGTTTCCCAATATATGTTTCTCTGTTCCAGAACCTGTAGGAATTTACTTTCTTGCAATTTTCATAAATAGAAAATCGGTCATAAAAGTAAAAAGGTCACCGGTGAAATTTTTTTACAATCTTGCAGCTCTGGAACAGGTCTTGTGTATTTATAAATTAAAAATTATTTTAACCTCTCATAGTATTCTTAAAATGTCCTATAATATTTTGCTATGAAAAAATGTATACTAATGTAAATTTGTAAATCTTTAATTACTAAGTAGATATTTAAAAGCCAGAATAAATTTTCTTCAAATCCGCTACAATATTTTAATATATTTTATTTATTTATTTCTAATTTTTTGTATCATAGGGAACCCCAACTGTATTCCCAGCCCAAAACTTTGATCCCGTCAAGGATGCCCATGACTTACGCAAGGCCATGAAAGGCTTTGGCACCGATGAGGATGCCCTTATCAACATCATTTGCCGTCGTTCCAATGAACAGAGACAGGTATGAAAAAATATCCTAATTTTATTTATTTTGCTAAATTTTTAATATTTTATTTATTTTTAGGAAATCCAACGTCAGTATAAAACCCACTTTGGCAAAGATCTTATTGAGGACATTCGCTCCGAGACAAGCGGAAATTTCGAAAAACTGTTGGTTGGCCTTTTGCGTCCCATTGTCGATTACTATTGTCATGAGCTGAACGATGCCATGGCTGGCATTGGCACTGATGAAGATGTGCTCATTGAAATTTTATGTACTCTATCGAATCATGAGATTCACACGATTAAAAATCAATATTTAAGATGTAAGTTTTTGGGATTTCAAGATAAAAAGTTGAAACCTTAAATAAATTTTATTGTTTTATTTTGTAGTATATGGTGCCCATTTGGAATCGGAATTGAAATCCGAAACATCGGGAAATTTCAAACGTCTCTTGGTCTCGCTGTGCACTGCGGCCCGCGATGAAAGCGGTCATGTTGACCGTGCTGCTGCCCAGAGTGATGCCCGTGAATTGCTCAAGGCTGGTGAGTTGCGTGTCGGCACCGATGAGAGCATGTTCAATATGATTTTGTGCCAACGTAACTATCAACAATTGAAATTGGTAAGATTTTGTTCGGAAAAATGGAAAAACGTTTCAGTACTTATGCCAAATTTTAAAGATGTATTTTTCTTAGAAAAAATTATTATTTAATAATTTATTTTTATATACCTTCAGATTTTCCAAGAATACGAAACAATGACCGGTCACTCGCTGGAGAAGGCAATTAAAAAGGAATTCTCCGGTGATATAATGGAAGGCCTAATTGCCATTTGTCGTTGTGTCAACAACAAGGCTGAATATTTTGCCTCACGTCTACACAAGAGTATGGCTGGCATTGGCACCAATGACAAGCAGTTGATACGTGTGATTATCACCCGGTGTGAGGTAATTATTAAGAACTAAACTATCCACCTCGTGGAACACAAGAATTAATATTTAATTTTTTTCCACACAGATCGATATGGCCGATATTAAGGCTGCCTTTGAACGTATGTATGGCAAGAGTCTAAAGAGCTGGATTAAGGGTGACACATCGGGTCACTACAAACATGCCCTATATGCCTTGGTGGGGGAACAACGTTCAAATTCTTAAAACCTGAAATGGAGTAATGTTATACGAAATATATTTTTTTTAAGGGAAGAAGTTCATTTTAAAAGAGAGAGAGAGAGAGAGAGAGAGAAAAAATGAAATGATATTTTAATGTTGACATTAACCACAATCGAATATTTTTCACAAAAAAGTAAAAACAAAAAAAGTTGATATGAAATCTAAGTATTTTTCTAAAAAAAAAACTTTTACATGCTTGAAAAAAAAAAAAAAAAAATTTCAATACATTTTTTAATACAAATACCAGTGACAAAACAAAATTTTATAAAAAAAAAACTATTTTTGAAATTTTCCATAAAAATATATATTTGTTTGTATTCCCTGAAGAGTTATTTTAAAATGTTGAAATCATACCCATAATATATATTTAAATGTACTGTACTGTTATTCCTAAAAACAATCAATTAAATTGCTTTGCAATCCTAAAGAGTATTTGACTTTAACCATTAAAAACAACAACTACAAAAAAATAATTATTGCATTTAATGCCACTTTTTGATACAATAATCCTCTAATGAAATCTCACGACAGTGTCTTTTTCTAGCTGTTGTATTGTCATAATGTTCATTAAAAATATACATACCTAAATACAATAAAAACTATGTTAAAAACCACAAATATTGAGTCGTTTTACATATGGATGTGCATGAGGAGGAAGGGTAAGAAATAATGAAATAGTCTCTTGCTGACATTTTGAAAGGGGAAATTATGATTGGTATTATCAACAAGTAAAACCCCAGATAAAGTCGGCCGGGCTGAACTTTTAACATTCTCCATCATTTTAAAGGATCTTAAATATTTTCAAAGAAATCCGTTGAAAATACCAGTTATATGAAACCCGTTATATGGGTGCTATACGAAGACGTGATCTTGCATAAGTAATTTTTATACCCTCCACCATACTATGGAGGGTATATTAATTTTGTCATTCCGTTTGTAACTCCTCGAAATACTCATGTCAGACCCAACAAAGTATATATATTCTTGATCAGCGTAAAATTCTAAGACGATTTACCAATGTCGTTTCAAATTTGGTATTTAAAGTTCGTAATGGATACTACATCCTAAGTCAAAAAATGAGCCATGTGGGTCCACGTATCCATGTAGCCCCCATATAACGGTACCCCCCGACATTCGGTATTTTGATGATTTTAGCGACATTATTTAACGGAATCGTTCCAAATTTGGTATTTGTTCGTAATAGATACTGCAGCATAAAACAGAAAATGGGCCATGTAGGTCCACGTCTTCGTATAGCCCCCATATACCGTACCCGTCGGTATTTTAATGATTTTAGCGACATTATTCACCGTTTATTTCAAGTTTTGAATTTGAATATTGTAATGGCTTATGACGAAAAATGCCACCCCAATATAACGGCTATATTCTTATAGACCCCAATATAACGGATATATTCGGTATTTTTAAGAGTTTAACAGAATTTTTAACAGATAATATTTTTTTTAAATTTTCCAAATTCGTTCCAAGTAGTGGAGGGTATTTAAAGATCGGCCCGGCCGAACTTACTGCTTTTTAACTTGTTAAAACTTGGAATCGATTTCGAAATTTTTGTCTGGCATAAAAATTATCATAGAGCAGAATATAATTTTCGCCTTTAGTTCCGGAGATTGGTGACATAGTAAAATGCCTGGTCTTATATACTTCTGAGCTACATTCTCATGAAAAAAATTCACAACAAAATTCTTTCGAAAAAAGGCTGAAAAAGCTTTGAAAATAAATTGATTTAGTCAGTCATCCGACTGTCAAATACTCTAAATATTATACCATATACAGAGTGAAATGAAAAAACTGCAACCACCTTCAGACTGATGTCATTTCTAAGCCACTCGTCCGTCAGCTGTTAAAATTATTCCACTGACAACTTATTATATTGTTTCCAAGCGTACAAAAGCATTTTGGTGAGAATTTTCCAGAAAAAAAATATTCGTGATGAAATTCAAGCGCGATTGTGTGATTTCTTTATATTTGGCTGGAAAGCCACAAGTGGCTATCGTTAGAGCACTCCAGCAATTAGATGTGAATAAATCTTTTGTGTCTCGTATCATCGCTCGTTATCGTGAAGAAAACATCAACATCAGCAGAAATGGTTCGAAAAGTAAAGAAGCGACTTGATTCAAACCCGTGTCGCTGTTGCCGAAAAATGGCTCGTGAGCTGAACATATCGCAATATTCCATTCGGCAAACACTGGAAAATGACATCGGGGTAAAGCCATTGAAATTCCAAAACGTGCAAGAACTTACACCGCAACAGAAAGAAAATATACTCAAAAGAGCTAAAGAGTTGCTTAACTTGGCCGAAAGTGGTGAACTGCCGAATTTGGTTTTCTCCGTTCCGATGAGAAAACATTCGTTGTCCAGCAGTTTGTAAACAAACAAAATGATCGTGTTTACTTGTCAAAGAGGTCAGTTGAAAATGTGCACCAGCAGTTGGCCACCAGAACTCAAGCGCCGCCCATGGTGATGGTGTGGGCCGCCATAACAGCCGATGGTCGCTCTCCGCTTGAATTAATCGACCGTGGCATCAGAATAAATGATGAATATTATAGCGAAAATATGCTGGAGGGTGTATTAAAGCCTTGGGCACGGAAACATTTTGGCCGCAGACCTTGGACATTCCAACAGGACTCAGCAAATCGCACTCAGCATGTGCCACCCAAGAATGCTTACAAAATGAGGTTCCTCGCTTCATTTCCAGATCACAATGGCCACCAAAATCTCCGGTTCCAATCCTTTGGACTATTGTGTCTGGAGTATTTTGGAAAGCAAGGTTGGCACTAAAAAATACCAAAGTGTCGATCACCTCAAGCAAGCGCTTTGCCGGGAATGGGCCAAAATACCGCAGAGCAACATTCGAACAGTGTGTCACGGTTTAATTGTTCGTTTGAAGGCCATAATTCATGCTAAAGGTGACCAATTCGAACAAATCTGAACTTATTCTAAAATTTGATGCTATTTCCGACATTTTTTCTTTCATTCAATAAAATTAGAAACAAATGTAAAAATTATGGCGTTTGACTTTGTTGCACTTTTTTGTTATCTCACCCTCAAAAAAAACTTCTTGCGTCGAATTTCCGACAATTCCATTTAAAAAATGGGGCGAAATTCATCCAAATATCGAATATCGGGATGTACCGTTATATGGGGGCCATACGATATCGTGGACCGATATAGTCCATCTTTGAACTTGACCTGCGTGCACACAAAAGGCTGATCTGTGCAATTTTTTTAAAGTTACTTTTGAGGATCTTCATATAATCATGTCAGTCCGTCCGTCTGTCCATATATTTTTGTGAACAAAATGCAGATCGCACTTATTATCCGAATTACATTTTCCAAACAATATTTGTTTATCCCGAAGACGACCCCCCATTGAAGTTAGTGATAATCGGATCCCATATATCTTCAACCATTTTTTGTTTAATTGTGCAGCAAATGGCTAATATCAGTCCATATTTTGACTCGAACTATCGAATTCAGTCTAGAAGCAAGTGGATCAAATTTGGATTAAATCGGTTCAGACATAGTTATAGCTCAATATATATGTTTCATCCGATTTGGTCGTTAAGTAATATGCATTCGGAACGCTCGGAAATTCTTTTGCCAAATTTTATCGAGAACGGCTAAGATTTGGATATAGCTCCCATATATATCCTTAATCCGATTTCAGGTTTTTTGTGCAAATAATGGCTTATATCAGCCGAAATGGAGTAAATTTTGGGACGTACATTTCCATTAGGCGGAACTCGGATCCGTTATAAATTATTTTAATATAATCCTTTTTTAAGTGATATCATGCACTTTATATCAATGTTATTTGGTATTAAAGATTAAAATGTCTCAGTCAAATTTAGTGAAAATTGATTCAGAATTGGATATGCCTCTCAAATATTCGTTCCCTTTGGAACCAAATTGTAACTGATCTATATCCAAAGGTTGATAGGAGGTGTGATCTACTTCAAATAAATTCTTTTGTTACAGGAGCTCTATTAAATATGTATAGTGATGTAGGGTATCAAATAGTCGGCCGTCAGAATTTTAGCTTCTTCTTACTGGTTATATATAAATTTAAATTTGCTCCAAACTTTAAAAGATTCTGATGGATTTTTTCAATATTGTTAATATACAATTAGAAATAAATAAAAAAAATAGTTATATCAACAAGAAGCTTTAACTTCACAAAGAAGCGAAGAGCGATTAGAAACTGTGTGACATATGTGTGTAAACAAAGCAACGTTTTTTCAAAGCTTTTATTATGTATAGTTCTTGTCTTCGCTAGATTCATGAAATTAATACAGGGTGGATATCGTAGACACCCTGTGTGTAATCTCAAACAAAACCATAAATTTTCACATTGCTCTATTGTCATTTTTAATACAAAATATATGCACATATTCTACAATAATATATTAAAAAATAAAAATCTATTAAAAATTATATTTTTTATTTCAAAATCCTTACTTCCACAAAGAGACTGTCATTTTTTATATAATTCGATTGTTTCAATATCGTGTGTGGAATATAAAAGAATTGTTTCGTCTGGATGTAATCATCACTTTTCTTTCGTACCATAACCGTTTTCACATAATCCTCAGGATTGGTGGCATTTATGGTTTGATCTCGTATAATTACATCGGCCTGCAGGCGGCATGGCCATGGCAGTAGGGGATCATATTCTCCAGCTATAACATTGAGGCAGGCTATCATGTTGCGTCCCTTCCACGTGCCCTTGCCATTCAAGTAGATATCCAGCTGCAAAGTATTTCATTTTAATTGCTGAGAGTTTTAAATTATTTAAATTTTGTACTCACTCTTAAAGCATAGCCAAAAGGTTTGTTGGAAAACATGGCACTGTGCAAAATCGTGTCGTACTGGCGAGCTTCCTCAAACTTTTTCGAAAAGTCTTTTATTCTCCAAAGCAAGTGGCCTTGGGGCGATGAAAAAAGTAAATGTTTTTTTTAATTTCTGTTGAAATAGTTATTTGAAATTAATGTTTCCGATGAGGTTTTAAACGAAGTTGGGAAAGAATCAAAGACAACTCTGAAGGACTGGGAAGAAATTATACATTTCCAAACTTGAATGAATTGTTTATATATACGATCCCCAGGGTGCTGAAGGTAGTCTTTATGGACGAGCCGGGAGTGGTCTTTATAGACGAGCTGAAAGTCGTCTTTATAGACGAGCTGAAGGTCGTCTTTTCAGGCGAGCCGGAGGTCGTCTTTTCAGAAGAGTCGGAAGTCGTATTTTCAGACGAGCCGGAGGTCGTCTTTTCAGACTAGCCGGAGGTCGTCTTTATAGACAAGCTGAGGGTCGTCTTTATAGACAAGCCGAGGGTCGTCTTTGTAGACGAGCCGAGGGTCGTCTTTGTAGACGAGCCGAGGGTCGTCTTTGTAGACGAGCCGGAGGTCGTCTTTGTAGACGAGCCGGAGGTCGCCTTTGTAGACGAGCCGGAGGTCGTCTTTATAGACGAGGTCGTCTTTATAGACGAGGCCGTCTTTAGGTCGTCTTTATAGACGAGGTCGTCTTTATAGACGAGGTCGTCTTTATAGACGAGGTCGTCTTTATAGACGAGGCCGTCTTTAGGTCGTCTTTATAGACGAGGTCGTCTTTATAGACGAGGTCGTCTTTATAGACGAGGTCGTCTTTATAGACGAGGTCGTCTTTATAGACGAGGTCGTCTTTATAGACGAGGTCGTCTTATAGACGAGGTCGTCTTTATAGACGAGGTCGTCTTTATAGACGAGGTCGTCTTTATAGACGAGGTCGTCTTTATAGACGAGGTCGTCTTTATAGACGAGGTCGTCTTTATAGACGAGGTCGTCTTTATAGACGAGGTCGTCTTTATAGACGAGGTCGTCTTTATAGACGAGGTCGTCTTTATAGACGAGGTCGTCTTTATAGACGAGGTCGTCTTTATAGACGAGGTCGTCTTTATAGACGAGGTCGTCTTATAGACGAGGTCGTCTTTATAGACGAGGTCGTCTTTATAGACGAGGTCGTCTTTATAGACGAGGTCGTCTTTATAGACGAGGTCGTCTTTATAGACGAGGTCGTCTTTATAGACGAGGTCGTCTTTATAGACGAGGTCGTCTTTATAGACGAGGTCGTCTTTATAGACGAGGTCGTCTTTATAGACGAGGTCGTCTTTATAGACGAGGTCGTCTTTATAGACGAGGTCGTCTTTATAGACGAGGTCGTCTTTATAGACGAGGTCGTCTTTATTTTATAGACGAGGTCGTCTTTATAGACGAGGTCGTCTTTATAGACGAGGTCGTCGTTATAAACGAGGTCGTCTTTATAGACGAGCCGGAGGTCGACTCTATACACGAGCCGGGGGTCGTCTCTGTAGACAAGCCGGGGGTCGTCTCTGTAGACAAGCCGGGGGTCGTCTCTGTAGACGAGCCGGGGGTCGACTCTATACACGAGCCGGGGGTCGACTCTATACACGAGCCGGAGGAGGTCGTGTCGGTTTATAGACGAGCCGGAGGAGGTCGTCTCTTTTATAGACGAGCCGAAGAAGGTCGTCTCTTTTATAGACGAGCCGAAGAAGTTCGTCTCTTTTATAGACGAGCCGAAGAAGACCGTCTCTTTTATAGACGAGCCGAAGAAGGTCGTCTCTTTTATAGACGAGCCGAAGAAGGTCGTCTCTTTTATAGACGAGCCGAAGAAGGTCATCTCTTTTATAGACGAGGCGTGGAGGTCGTCTCTTTTATAGACGAGCCGTTGAGGTCGTCTCTTTTATAGACGAGCCGTTGAGGTCGTCTCTTTTATAGACAATCCATCGGCTCATTTCCAAAGACTACCTCGGCCCTTAAAAGGACGATCAAATGTGAACTGAAAGGTGTCCCTATTTATGATGAACTTTTTATGGACGGTCAAATGGTTTATATGAAAGCTCTTGCAGTTCTTTCCTACCTCTACAATTAATATAGCTCGTCAAACGCTGCTGGGTGGCAATGTGATTCTCCAAATCATTTACCAGTTGCATGGTGTGATGTAAATTCCGATCAATCTGGCTGACTAGGGTCTCCAACTTATCACAACGCTCTTCCGTGTCACAGACAATGTGTTTCATGCCTTTCACTTCCAGATCCAAGGCAGCATATTTGGCCACATCGTGTTCGGGACCAAGTTTGGCATTTAAATCCAAATTGATTGATTGCAGGTAATTTTCAATTTCAATAAATTTATCCCTGTCAAAGAAGAAGAAGGAGAAGAAAAAATTGACATTTGTTTATTGCTTTGCCATTTAGCAGTCGGCAAGGAGGTAGCCCATCAACCTGTTAATTTTTTCATGCAACAACACCGTCTCCTCCAGTTTCATGATGTTGTCGTTCAAATGATTTTGGTGTTGGGTTAGTTCCAAGGACATTTGATTGATGTGTTTCTCCAGATCGTCGATTTCATTTTGAATCTCCCTCTTTAAGGACTACAGAACCAAATAAAAAATAAATGTGTGTGTGTGTGTCTTTATATGTTTGTTGATGTTGAACCAACCTGTACAGTATCGAAACAACAACGAAAATCCTGCTGACACTGTTCCACCTCAAATGTCCTCTGTGTATTCTCCTCGTCCAGACGATTTTGCAGGGATTTTAAACTTTGATTGGTGCTCTGCTGCCAATCATCGATGACCTGATTTTGCTTTCGCAGATTTCCCACATCGGTAATCAAATGCAAACGCTGCCGTATTTCCTCATTCAATACCGAACGTAGGGTATTTATTTCATTCTCCACCACCTGCACTCGATAGTCGACCTGTTGATCTACACGATCTGCACTGGCACTACGACGTTTGTTACGCGGACACTCTTTCAGGTGGGCACGCATGCGTATGCGTGGCACAAAAACGTTACAGGTATTGGGACATTGTTCCAATACTTGACCACAGTGGATTAAGTGTTCCTGTTAGTACAGAGGGGTGGAATGGAAAGGGTAAGATGCATTGCTTTTTGCAAACAAAATTGATTAGCTGTTCTTATCAATGTTTATAAAAGTAAACATGAATTTTGACAAGCATTTCCAACAAGTGTTGGACCGTCAATACGACGTGAGGTTTATCTTATCATTTGAAAACTAATTCCATTAATATTCTGAGTGTGTGTATGTGTGTGGGTTCAGCAAGATAAGACCAATGAATTTTACGTTGCCCTTACAAAAATATGTTTGGCTTCTAACGCATGAATACAGGGTACTCACTTTCAACATGTTTTAAGAGACAGTATGGTACTGTATTTAAACCAGTAAAGAAAGTCTTAAAGTTGGGCGGGGCCGACTTTATGATACTCTACACCACTTTGCTAATTTAGTAGAGCTCCGCATAACAATTAAAAGTTTTTATGGGAGAATTCAATCACACACGCTATGATTATAATTATAATTTAAAGTTCAAAGGACTAAATATGCCGAAGCATTTGTATCTTTTAAATTCGGAATTGCATTGCCCATTTGGTGCACAATTAATTTGAAATCGGATAAAGATATGTATGGGAGCTATATCCAAATCTGAACCGATCTCGATAAAATTTGGCGAAGATATTTCTGAGCTGTATTTGATATATTTCCCTGAATATCGTTGTTACGGAGTGCAAATTACGGCTGTGGGTAACAAATACAACAAACCGGATGAACAATATATATGGGAGCTATAGCTATATCTGAACCGATCTTCACCAAATTTGATATACTAGCTTCTAGACTCAATTCGGTAGTAAGTGCCAAATTCCATCCCATTTGGACAAATATTAGACGTTTGGTGCCAAATAAAAGGCAAATCGGACGAAGTTATATATGGGAGCTATATCCAAATCTGAACCGATCTCGATAAAATTTGGCAAATGTATTTCCGAGCTGTATTTGATATATTTCCCCAAATATTGTTGTTGCAGAGTGCATATTACGGCTGCGGTGGACAAAAATAACAAATCGGATGAACAATATATATGGGAGCTATAGCTTTATCTGAACCGATTTCGATAAAATTTGGCATACTTATTTTCAGGCCTAATTTGGTTGTATGTGCAAAATTCCATACAATTCGGGCTGATATTACACGTTTGGTGCACAATAAAAGATAAATCGGACAAAGATATATATGGGAGCTATATCTAAATTTTGACCGATTATCTCCAATTTCAATAGGGTTCGTCCTTGGGCCAAACAAATGATTTGTGCAAAATTTCATTTGGATTGGGCAATTAATGCGATCTGTACTTTGTTTACAAAAATACATGGACAGACGGACGGACGGACGGACATCCATAAATCGACTCAGAATGTGATTCTATGCAGATCATCAAAAGGAACTATGGGTCTATCGCGTTTCCTTTTGTCTGTTACACACAAATGCACAAAGACATAATACCCTGACCACCTTATGGTGTAGGGTATAAAATAGTTTGTCCCAGAAAAAAATCTCCAGTAATCGGCATGACCAGGTAGAGCAAAAAAATGTATTTAAAATAAAGAAGAACAGACCGAAATCATAAAATATCGATAGACCAGAGAGGATTTATTTTCTTGTTATGCTGAAAAAGGAGGGTATATTAACTTTGTCACTCCATTTGTAACATCCCTATATATTCCTCATGGACCCCATAAAGTATATGTATTCATGATCAGCATAAAATTCTGAGTTGAGTCAAAGATGTCCCTCTGTCTGTTGAAATCACGATACAGTCCACATTATCTGACGTAGAGTAGACAGAACAATTTGTACTGGGTCTAGGATGATTGGTGTTGAAAATGAGATATACCGGTCCACGTTTTGTATAGCCGCCACATTTTTTTGCGGATTTGTCTAAAAATTTGTATTTGTAGGTCATAATAGGTTCTAGCTCCGGTGACGAAGAATTGTATGTATAGATCCACGATTTTGTATAGCCCCCATATAACGGTACCTCCCGATATACGGTATTTGGAAGATTTTTGCTTGATTTTACCAAAGATTTGTTTTGTTTAGTGGTCTCTAGATCCGGTGGCCGAACATAGTATATATGGATCCACATTTCGGTTTAGCACCCATATAATGGTACCTCCCGATATTCGGTGTTTTGATAATTGTTGCCACATTTTTTTAACGGATTTTAAAAATTGGTATTTGTAGTTCATAATGGGTACTAGCTCCGGTGGACGAACATTGAATATTTAGGTTCACGTTTTCCTATAGCGCACATATAAGGATACCCACCGATATACGGTATTTTGATAATCCTAGTCACATTTACCCACGAAACTGTTTTGAATTTGGTATTTAAGAAGACTTATTAGATGACAATCCTCGAAGCATAAAGTTGTCTATGGAGGTTCCCGTTTTGGTATGGCCCCCAGTATTACGGGCTCATCCACTATATGGTTTCTCTGAAAATATTAACAGCATTATCGAAACGGTCTTACTGGTATTTACAGTTTATAGTGGAACATGTTTAATATAAAAATGGTTTCTGGAGGGTATTAAAAGTTCGACCTGGCCGAACTTTATGTTTATACCCTCCACCACAAGGTGGTCAGGGTATTATGTCTTTGTGCATTTGTTTGTAACAGGCAAAAGGAAACGAGATAGACCCATAGTTCCTTTTGATGATCTGCATAAACTCACATTCTGTCCGTCTGTCCATGTATTTTTGTAAACAAAGTACAGTTCGCATTTATTGCCCTATCCAGATGAAATTTTGCACAAATAATTTGTTTGGCCCAAGGACGAACCCTATTGATCTTCGTCCGATTGCCATATATTGTGCACCAAACGTGTAATATCGGCCCCAATAGTATGGAATTTTGCACATACAACCAAATTAGGCCTGAAAATAAGTATGTCAAATTTGATCGAAGTCGGTTCAGATATAGCTATAGCTCCCATATATATTGTTCATCCGATTTGTTATTTTTGTCCTCCGCAGCCAAAATATGTACTCCGTAACAACAATATACGGGGAAATTTGTTAAATACAGCTCAGAAATATATTTGCTAAATTTTATTGAGATCGGTTCAAATTTGAATATAGCCCCCATATATAACTTCGTCCGATTTACCTTTTATTGTGCACCAAACGTCTAATATTTGTCCAAATGGGATGGAATTTATCACTTACTACCGAATTGAGTCTAGAAGCTAGTATGTCAAATTTGGTAAAGATCGGTTCAGATATAGCTATAGCTCCCATGTATTCTGTTCATCCGATTTATTATATTTCTTACCCACAGCCGTAATATGCACTCCGTAACAACGATATTCAATGAAATATATCAAACACAGCTCAGAAATGTCTTTGCCAAATTTTACCGAGATCGGTTCAGATTTGGATATAGCTCCCATATATATCTTTATCCGATTTCAAATTAATTGTGCACCAAATGGGAAATACAAGTCCGAATTTAAAAGATACAAATGCTTCGGCATATTTAGTCCTTTGAACTTTAAATTATATTTATATTCATAGCGTGTGTGATTAAATTCTCCCACAAAAACTTTTAATTGTTATGCGGAGCTCTACTAAATTAGCAAAGTGGTGTAGGGTGTCATAAAGTCGGTACCGTTCGACTTTAAGGCTTTCTTTACTGGTTTTTATTTGTTTTATCCACAATTATTAATAATTGGAGGAATGATCTCAAGAGAATATACCAACCCGGCGATATTCATGTTGAGGTGATTATATAGGGTATGGACTCTCTGTGTCCATAAAAGAATCAGGAAAAAAAGTCCAAGGAAAAATTCTTTAGCTGTGGGATACCAAGGAAATCAAACTTGAAAACACTAATTTAAGAAAAAATGCTTAAAAAATATTAAAAATTAGAAAAATGCAGAGCTTACAAGATTAAATCTTAAACAATTCACGGACAGACGGACGGCTATCGTTAAATCGACATAGATTTTATGCTATATACTTTTTGGGGTCTAAATTGTTATTTCAAGGTGTTACAAATTTCAA